CTGACAGGACCTGCCACTAATGAACCTGTGTTGGTTGCCCCTAAGGATGACCTCCCCTGCTGGCCCCTCGTGGATATGTGCCAGAATAATTTTCTCAAAAAGCTTACCCAGGATTGAGGTAAGACTAACTGGCCTATAGTTTCCTGGGTCCTCCTCCTTCCCCTTTTTGAAGATGGGAACCACATTGGCCCTCTTCCAGTCCTCTGGCACCACACCAGAGCACCATAATTTGCTTCAATTATGACTATATAAACAAAAAATCTAGTTATATTTCCTTTCGTGTCATTATTTAATCAATCATTTAAACAAAGTGAATTGTTCAGAGTGCAGTGGCCTGTAATTCAAGAAAATGTTTCAGAAGGTCTCTCAACATTGCTGTAATGACAAGACAAATATCAGTGTAATGAAGCAAGCCAGTGTTTTTATTAGAAACTTCTGTTTTTGTACAATAAATGCTATACAGTAATTCCCAGTAGAGGGCATATTACCTGAAGAAAGGTGTTTTATGCCCAAAAGCTTGTCCAGCATCTCTTCCAATTATACAATTGGTCCAATAAAAGCCTTTGCTTCTTGTTTTTAATAAGTGGGTTTTTTTAGTTTTATGTGAGCCTTGGGTTATCCTTTGTGTGGGCGCGTTTGCTATCTCCTCTCAGGGTCTCTCCTGCCACGACTTTGAACATGGGGGGAAAAAAAAGGAAGTAAAACCAGCCCAACATGTGCCGAACACATGGAGGCTAGGCCATCCAGAGCAGTGCTCCGGCTGCTGACCAAGCTTCCATGCTGCCAAACCTGTGTCCCTAGGCTCCAGGTCACTAGGTAAGACTGCTCCAGCTCTTTCTTGGATGTGCAAGGGAGTGTGCTGCGGCAATTTATGCTACTGCAAGTGCATGCCGCTGCACAGTGCCGTAATGTGAGGGAGAGGTGGGTAGGGGGCAAGCAGGATGACTGCCTTGGGTGCCAAAGTGAAGGAGTGCCAACAGGTGCTGCCTTGCTGGGGCAGGGCACAGGACAGAGCCACAAGCAGCTTGTTTTGCGGGAGGGAGGGTGGCTTCCGCAGCTGTGTGTCCTCCCCGGATCTGTGTGTGGGGGTGAGGGCGGGCTTTGCCCTGGGCACCAAACTTCATTGCTACAGCATTGCCCCTTTATGTCTAGGCGTGGCTATGGGGATTACTTGAGACCATTACCTTACTGTACATTGCACATAATTAAGTTATTTCTTGTATCTTCGCTTCTCTCCTTGTTATTTACATTGCTCAGATTCTAGTGTCTTTGTTCTCCTTGTAGTTTTGCCTTATGTTTTAAGGCAGTAGACTGAGCCAGGGAATTTGGATAGCCTCCTGGAGCACCCACCTCTCCCTAAGAAGAGAAAAGCAGTGGTACAGGTAGCCCCCGCAACCAGCTGGACAACCGCCTGGTACGTTATAAGGAATTGATTCAAATTAGTAAATGGCTTCGGGGAAAATGTTCTTTGAAAGCCATGAAAGTCTGGGAGCCCCCAAAACCAAGGAACCTAGAACCAGGGATCTAGGCTGCCCTGTGGCCCTCTTCCCACACACCTGGGCATCCCAGTCAGGGTATCACCATGCAGTTTTTGGTAAAGTGCTGGAATGTTCTTTGTGGAACACAGTGCTAGTGAGAAGGGGGGATCAGAAAATTGCAATTGCGGGCAATTGCTTTCTTCTTTCTCTTCCTTGGCATTCAGCCAATTCCATGCTCAGGGAATAATGGGTAAACTGGAGTCCTTGCCACTGGGTATTCACTACCACCGACCTAGTGGTGGTTTTACAGTACTGCAGTGCTTAAAAGGTGCCTGTTCCACTTAGAACCCTTGGCAGTGCATGTGCAGACACCTCTGAACCAGGACAATTGTGAACCAGTTCCCAATCAGTGACATTTTTGTAATGGTTCAAATGTTATGTCTGTCCACACCTCTTTGTATTTCTTCAAAATCAGTTTCTTTTTGCACACTGCTCATATGTATTAGGCTGTATAAACCACATAAAATAAGGCAGGGAACAATTCTGACCTGGCAGGGAGGTAAGTTGGATATTCCAATAGGACTTTTTGTCTCTTCATTTATATGCCTTTCTTTCTGTTTATTAATAAGTCCATGCAGTGCTGATTATTGAGTGTTAAATGTGCAGATCAATAGCACTGCAGAAATGGTGATAAAAAGTCCAAGGACTAAGAGGAAGTGAAAGTGTTTGACCTTCTTTAAAAGAAAACAAAAGACAAAGCCTCTACATTTTATTTTTTTAAGAACTCTAAAGACAGAATTTGTGGCTCTTAGTCCTTTTAAGCTTACAAAAAATGCTTTATAATTACTTTGAACATTTCTTACTGTGTAGGCGTCAGTTTGGGATAATTTTTAAGATCAATCATTTAAACAAAGTGAATTGGAATGAGAGATGTTAAAGTCAATGTTCAGTTTTTACTGTAAATTTAAAAGTTGCTGAACATAAAATTTGGAAAAGAATTTTACAATGTGAAGAAGACAAATTTTAGATGCATGTGTTCATGAACTGAAGGAATTTGATGCTTTTATCTCCAGAATTTCCAGTACATGATGTTAAAGATGAGTGAGAGACGATTATAAAAAGAGTTGCAGGTTAGTTGAAAGGAACTAAGTTGTATGAAAGACATCTGTTAACCTTCTCACGTCATCTGCAGAGTAGGAAAACTGAATTAGAATCTCAGGTAAGACTGAACAGCTGCTGCAACTGTCTTTTATCATTAAATATGTGGTACAAAACTCATAATATGAAGTCCTACCCCTTGCCATGTGGTAAACTATTGTAAATTACGTTAAAGTTTGAGCAAGCGCATAACTTGTAGCTGTCTGCTAGAGACATAGCTCACAAAGATACTACACACAACATGAGAAGGTACTTCATATGAGAGCACACTGCAATACTAGTATCTGTACAGACAATCTGAATAAAGCTATATTGTTGTCAAGAATGACCGGGAGGAAGTGGGGGGGACCAGAGGGGCCTGGGATGGAGTGCCACCACCTAATGTCCCATGCTGCTGCTGTTCTGCCTCTTGCAGGGAGCGGGGTGGGGGAGCTGAAGCCAGTGCTGCTGGCTTCTGCTCCCCTGCTCCCTGTCTGGTCCTCGGCACTGCTTGCAGGGAGCAGCGTGGCGTAGCCAAGGCTAGCGCTTCTGGCCTTGGCTCTCCCACCTCTGTCCGGTCCTTGGCACGGCTTCAGAACCATGGTGGTGCTCCCCCACCTTTGGAACACTCTGACTGTTTCCATCAGCCAATCCAAGCACGAATAAAGCATTATGGACAGACAGACAGAGAGACTTAGGCTTTTATGATATTAGAATAATGGAAAGAGCATGGCTTTTTATAAGATAAATATTTCAGAATATGCATTAAATTCTAAAACCAACGTAAATAGGGATGATGATAATAAGCTGGCTCTGAAGGTACAGTACTTACCAAGGGGAAAACTACACCAGTTCTGTAGCCAGCATATTATTTCTATCAAAGAAAGTGACAAATATTTCTTTAATCAAAAATGGTACTTTTTACTAATCTTAAAATTACTGATACCCTCTTCATACTGTTAATTAGACTTTAGTGACTGCATTTGCCATTTGTTTCACAGGAAGTTTTCTGATTAGGCTAGGACCCCTTTTTGTTTATACAGTAACTTTATCAAGAGGCAGGCTCTCTCTACAAGGCATACAGTGTCTAGTAGACTATAAAGTCCTGCTATGTGATTGGGCTTCTAGGTTATACTGTTACACAGATATTAAACACCAACTGTGAAACTTGGTATACCAGTTAGGCCAAACTTAGTGTTTTGAGGTTGTGATTGTGGTTGTTGGGGTTATTTCTGTAAAGCTATCCACATTACCTGCAGTGTGGTAAATTCATAATTCTAAATGAAGTCTAGCATTTATTCCACAGAATATAATCTTGGAAAAATTTTGGTATATGCCTGTCTGCCCTTCCCATACCCCTTTTTCTGAGATTTAACTTCCACTGAAAGAGTGGAGAATTTCTGTGATTTACTTAACTATATTTAAAAGCGAAGAAAATGATCCTTTCTATAAAAACCAAAAATGAAGGAAATGATCCTGTCTATAAAACCAAAGTAAGTCCTGTATCTGTTGTATAAGAATAGCTATACAACCACAGCTATACATACAAAACATGGACTTACCCCAACTGGGAAACCCTGTAGCGGGAGGGGTGGCAGGAAAGAGAGAGAGACATTTACAATAAGTTGGTTGATTTGTCAGACCCAAAAGTTGTTCCAAAATTCTAGGTTTGAAATAAATTAAACATTAACTAATTCCAAGGAGAATATAAAAGTTTCTTTGAAACCCATGTATTTCAGCCTTGTTTGCATGGGAATCTGAAATTCAAATCGATTAGAAAGGATTACTTCTTAATTGTACAGTCCATGACAAACTGAAAAAGTAAATACTCATCACTAGCAATAAAAAACATACATGAACTTTGAAAGTATTTTATTAAAGATTTAGTTTCTACCTATAGAGAAGTTCAATACACTTTTAACCTCAAATATACTTCATTTAATATGGAAAATAAATTTAACTTGTTTAACATACCACATTCTACTTGTTGAGTGATATGCTCAAGTTTTACCCCTTTTTCTTTCTTTCCATATTAAGCTATACAGTCATGATTGAGGGACTGCATTCTATAGGGTTTTCCAAAATGTATCCAGTGACTCTATCTGACTTTTCAGTACCTGATTTAATAGTCCAGTGTTTAATATTTTAAATTAATTGTTTTCAGAACTGCAGTTAAGCCTACAATCTAAAGTGGTGCATTCCTGAGTAAGGAGGACTTAGTCAACTTCTGCCACCTAATGTTCTATATTTAAAATACAGGGCTGCATGCCAGGAACTCCTGGTTTATCTGGCTTCTGACGCTGAGTTGCTGCACGGCCTTGGGCAAATCAATGTATTGGTCCATTTCTCTTTTCCAAACCTAGGAATACAAACAGTAGTCTGCCTTGTAGGTGTTGAGGGCTCATTATCTACTGTTTCTATAGTGGTACAGATCTAAAATTCTGCATGACCCTGATCCTGCAAACACTCTGTGGGCGTGTTTACACATGTGCTTTACTATGGAGCTGACTAATTATCTCTGCAGTAAAGCATCACCATCTACATGTGTGTCAGTATTAGGGTTCAGTAAATTAATTTACTCAGCCATAGGATAGTACTGTCTGGGACAAGTACTATCCTACAGTGCAGTAGTTACATGCGCTGAAATGCATATGTAGACAGTGGCTGGGACTGGCTGATTCAGAAGGGTGCTACAGTGAGGGGGCTGCCTGCCAGCTAACCCTTCACTGTAGCACTCTCATGCCCCAGCCAACCCCTCCACAGCACAATGAGCTGGGGTGGAGAACAGTTCTGGGCTGGCAGGCTGACTCCTTGCATCCCCTGCCAGCCAGGGCTGCTCCGCCTTGGCTCAATGTGCTGCGCTCCTGGGCGCACATATAAGCATTGCACCTGGGAGCAATAAGCTCTGGTGCAAATTGTGCCAGAGTTTATTGCTACGTTCTAATTGCACATGTAGATGTACCCTGTTAGATTTCCATTTTTTCATTTGGCATCATGTTGAGTGCATGGTCATTTTCCTGATTTTTATCCCACTTGAACCTCTTCTTTTTCTAGGGAAAACAGATGTATTTTTAACATGTTAATTAGTGTGTGCTAAAATTGTAGTACAAACAAGACAGCTATCATTTTAAGGTGATAGGTGGCCATAGTTCATCCCAGGCTTCCCACTTCATGCTGATAGCATGTTTAAAACTATAACTCTTTTGTACATGGTACAATTTTGACATGAATTATTTAACAGAAGTTTGCAATCACCTTTTTTTTGTAGTGCAGACATAGCCATTAAATGATTCAGTTTCATAGTCATTTAAGCATGTCCATAACTTTATTCAATAAGTGTTTTCAAATTAAACTTTAAAATAACTGTTTGATATTTTTTCTTTTTATATGTTTTAAAAATATTTAAAGCATCTAATAAAGCAGTTCTAATACAGAGCATCTAATACAGAGTAGTCTTAATTAGAAAATAAAGAACAGTAAGCACTGAGAGCTTTCTAACTGCTTTTGATTTTTCTGTTTTCTCCTGACATGCTAACTAATGCTGGCAAAGATCAGTGAGCAAGAAGAGCATATACAGGGGCTATATATAAGGGGTACAGAGGGATGCTACCTCAATGGGGCCTCTTCTTGCACAAATAACCCTGGTTATAGTATAATGTACAGAATCAACTGTAATTTATATGAATGGCCTTACCAGAAAGGAAGGACCAGGAGGAAAGGGAAATGGAAATGGAAATGGTACAACCTGAAAAAAGGAGGGGGGGAAATAGTTAATAGCAATCCAATAAATCAAATTGCCCTGGTAGATTCTAAAACTGTTTTTTAAAAAAATCACAAAGCCTTTTGAATTAATTGAATATCTTTTTGTTTTTATATTGTCAGAGAGGGTAAATATAGAAAGGTCAAACCCAGATTCTTCAAAACCTTTGTTTTGTGTTCAACACATGCTTGAACCCACACCAGTGATAGCACAATTGCAAAGCTTCTATGATTCACTGCTGCAGAATTAGACCACAAATAACCAGTATACTAATGGTCATGGCTACCAAATGTGTAAGAACACTGAAAATGTGAGATAAAGACCCATAAAAGTCTTCACCAACCAAAGCACAAGACAAATGGATTTGAGGCAAAGTCCAAAATTATGATCCAGAAGACCCCTGCTAAGCTGCCATCTAAAGCCAGAGGTACTTACACTCAGTAAACACCTCCATGTTTAACTTAAAAGTTCCCTAGATGCCTACACCTTTTCTTTTGCCCATGTGAGAACTATGGCATTCTAAGCAGCTCAACACCTGTCTCATGTCCAGGCCCTGCTAAGATCTGGGAGCTACCTACCTCCAATCAGTAGGGATTTTCAGAGCATGCCTAAGAAATCCCAACAGGATTGACTTGCTGTCAAATTGCAGTTGAAGCTACTTTCTCTTAAAAATGAGATGGGGGACTGAGGGGCTCTTAGTGCCTCCTTTCCATATAGAGTGACCTAGTGATTAGGCATCTGTGAGAGGTGAGAGATGTGGGTTTGAATCCCTGTAGGGTGAGGAAGTCCTAATCTCAGGTCTTCCCACTTCCTGGACGACTGCTGTAACTTCATGTATAAGATGGGTACCGCCACTACCACATCTACTTGTCTAGCAGCTGCATGTTAAAAAAGAGACTGGTGAGCCTGCCTGCTGCCCTGCCTCAGATGCCTAAATTCTGGAATGCAGGGCCATTTCCTATTGGTTAGGAGTTTTGGATCCTGTTCTGAGGTTTCTGACTCTTCCACTGCATTATGTAAGGAACCTAAACTACCTAGCACAGTTTTCTGGATTCCATGCTGATTGTATCTAACATGAAAGCATTTCAGTTCTTTAATGGATGTATCTGGTACTTGCAAAATGCTACATTTGAAACCTAAGGTCTTGCTAGCTTTTTTTCTGAAATATTTTTATTGCTTTTATGAAGAAATGAGTTTTCAGTCCCTCTTCCCTTCATTTTCACTTTCTTTTTTTTCCCTGCTTTTAAAACTAAGTTAAATTAAGGCCCTGATGCTGCTTCTCATAACAACAGGATATTTGCCAGTGTTTCAGAGCAGAATTCTTACTTTCATATTAAAAGCAGACTCTGGATTTAAATTCCATTGTCAATATTTTGATGTAATATACTTGGTCACTGAAACTGGCATTACTGTGTCACCTCTTCTCCTGTGGCACTAAGACAACTACATTTTTACTTCTGATACTACCAACTGCATACTATGGCACATTTTAGCAATGGAGGTGTAGAAAGGCAGATGAAGCACAAGCAACCCTTTGAAAGCTTGAGAGAGAAAGAAAGAGAGAAGGGTATGATTGTTGTAATACATAAAGCAGATTGAATTTACCAGTCCTGTCAGATTAAAAGGAAAAGGGAAGCCCTAGGAAAGAAACAAATTTTTAAAAAGTCAGTCGATTCTAATTCAGTATCTGTTCTCCTCCTTTATACATGCAACCACTGGATCCAACTCTTCAGTTGGTGCCATACATGCAGACTCTTTTACCTATGCTCTGGGTGGTCATAAATCCCATTGCATGATTGGAGCATATCATAACAAATATACAATATATCTAAACTGCATTGATTCTGAAGAGACAATATATACACAGGGCATAGTGAAGCATTAAAGAAAGAAAGATATTACAAAAAGTAGCCCTTTTGTATAAAATTACAAGCATGGTTATAGTGCATAACTTTATATTTTATAAAAAAAAAATTCTAAGTTGAAAGTTCATTTAAGTTGCAAAGTTAAATTAATATTTCCCGGCAAACTTAATTCAGCTTTCTTGCATGTAACTTTTATGAATGACCGTATATGTTCTGTGTTATGTGGGGAGTCGGACCAATGCAGTAATCTGGCCCCTTTGGGTGCTTCCATATGTAGGGGTGTGCATTTACTGTAGCACATATAGTGGCACAAATTTGTGCTGCTGTGCATGCCCCTGCACATGGGGTTTGCTGCAGGGCAAAATACTTTGCTTTGGGGAAACTGCTGTTTCCCTACTCCTCCTGGTTCCTAGTGCAGTGGAGTAGCCAAGGCACACCTAAAGCAGTGGAGACACTCTGGTTGGCAGCCAGAGCATCTCCCTGGAGGACCCAGCCTCCAGTTGCTTTTGTGCATGCTCCTTGAACATGCGCCGTGCTGCCTTTTTTTAATATTGGGAGGTCCCAGTATCAAATTTTGGCACCATGCTGCTAATTTGCAGTACAGTGAACGGTTCCACATGCACCACGTGCAGTTTGCGGTGCCTCACAGTTCTGAGATGCTGCAAACTGCATGTGCATGCTCATCTGGACATGCCCCTTGAGACTTAATACATACTTATTTTTTACAATGGGGGAGGCGAACTTGTTACATCCTTGATACAAGGAAAAAAGGAAAGCAGCAAAGTTAAATAAAAGGAAATACCATTTTTTCCCTTCACCATGTACAATTAGGCTGCATCTTTATCATAACTACATATCGAGACAAAAAAGTTACAGAATTCACCTTTGACCTATGCATTGCCTGTGTAAATGTAACAATAGGCGCATTCACAATCCTCTTAGAGTGAAAGACACTATACATGGAAGGAACATGTTATAGAGAAAACTTACCGGAGATGGTGGAATATAGAAATAGTTAGAAGACTGTGGGGGGGAAAAAAAGATATTTCTTAAGGGGTTTCCACAAATATATGATGTATGCTTAATTTTTTTTCTTTATGTACAGTTGCAGAGCTAAAAGTAAAACACATTATAGGTGATTATCTTTCATATTACTGAAATCCATATAAATATTAATCTTGCAGTGTTTTTCTGTCAGTGTAAACCTGTTCATTTAGTGAGAGGCTTAAAAGCAAACCAAACTAAAAATAAGGAAATATACATTACTGTAGTTATTGATTGCAAGTGAGAAGTCAGGAAACTCAAAGTCATCCTTCCCACAATAATGTTAACTCAGTTATGTTACTATTACATTAATGGTTCAACTAGATATGATGACATGGAATACTATGTCTACATCTCTATACCTTTACCCCATAACTGTAGCATCTGAGTATTTTGTATTCTTTAATTTATTTACATTCCTTATCATAGGGGAAGTGGTGGTCTGGAAACAAAAGTCTCTAGTTTAAGCATCTTGGCGAATATCTGGGTTTTGGCATAGGACCAGGTACTAGGATGAGAGGGGAAAGGAGGATTTAAGTTTCATATGGGAGCCACTGAACTTGTGCTGACTTGTTTGAATCAGCAGTGCCATCTAGTGGGATGAGCGCTACAGTTACTGCAAACTTTTCAAAAGAAATTCCTATACTGTTTGCATCTCAGTGTAACAGTAACGCTTGGCACATCCACATGTATTGTTTACTGTGCAGTTGACTGATTAACTGCTCAGTAAATGTCTTGGCATTTGTGAACCCCTCTTAGAGTGCATGAAACGAATAAACTCCATGGCATGGTAGTACTTGTAAAATACAAGTACTACCCTGCTGCACAGTTTTTTCATGCACAGCAGTGTATGTGTAGATCTTGCCTCAGCTAGCTGCAGCTGTGCCTGTCTGCATGTGCAGCCAATGGGGCATATGGTTGCTCAGTGCAGAGGCTGCTAGCCCTGCACTGAGGGACTGTATGCCCTAGCCCCTAGCTCCTGGGCCCCAGCAGCTGCTCCCCTTGTCTCCATGTGCTGCCAAGTGGCTGTGTGGGGCTTAGGTTGCCTCAGTGTGGGCCTGCCTGGTGGCTTGACCCAGTGCTGAAGCACCCCAGCCAGCTGGGACAGCGTTTACACGTGCATTGCTGCATAAAAAAAAACTCCAGAGCAATAAGCCCTGGAGTTTATTTGTGCATATTAGTCACATGTATAGATATGTCCACTAGGTAGATAGGTCTATCTATCAAATCAGAATCTGCCCCAGTATCTTAGCTGTCAAGAATTTTACAGGACGCCTAGTCTTGTTTTTGCAAAATGCAAAGATTTCGCAAAAGTAGAGCATAATAATGTGAAATTTATTGTCAAGTTATCAAAAAGCGCTATGTCTGGAATAACAAAGGGACCTCTCAATTAATACCTTGTTGGTAACATGACAATCAGACAGGGCTCTCATATTATGCAGCATAATGATTGGAAACCACTTGTTTTTTATTCTTGGAAGTTAGCTAGCAGCTGTTTTTCACATTCATCTGCATCTAAGGTTACATTACCGGAGGGGATGGTGGAGGCTGTGGAAATGGGATAGGTGGAATCGGAGGGGATGGTGGAAGAAACTGAGGTACCCGTGGATAAAATGGGAATCGATATGACAGCCGCTGTGGAAATAAAAAAGCATCAGTAACAAAATGTCTGAATCTATTTTAAAACTAAGACATTCAATTCTGAATATTAACAATAAGCAGAAGGTTTACCTCTCTACTGGAACTGCCATCACTGTCATCCAGCTGTGGAAAACCAAAGGAAATATCATGATGTCTGACATTTGTATAGAGCACCTTTCATCCAGTTAATAAGCTTCATGAAGTCCATCCATGTAGATTTAATTAAAGTTGCACACATTGCAGAGTAGTTATACTTTTTTTTGTACGGTGCTTCCTAAGTTTGCCATGGAGTCTTCTATAGTTGTGATGACAGGAGGGACTGACATCAATGCTTTCGAGGAATATGTTGGACCGACTTTTACTTTGGTTGCCTGTGATTCCAAGGGGCTAAACTATGATGTGGGTGGCTTCTTTCTGTTTTATGTTCCTAGATATTCTCTAACAAATGAGTGACATTTCTAAAAAGTAATTTATCAGTCTTCCATGGAATTCACCCTTGTATATATAGTAGGAAAACTTCCTTGTAACAGGTTCAATTTATATAAGGTTCAAACACTGCTGACGACTTACATGGGGATTAATTACAGGTGTATATTGCGCTATTTGCTTGTTATCTATAAAGAGAAGAGGGAACAGGAATAACAGAATATGCCAATTTTTACTTTGTATTATGCAGACAAATATATTTTAAGAAGGCCTGTCAATAATAAGTAGCAACTTGTTAGTTATAGTGTTTATTCAGTATTTTGGTCAGTACTTACAGGTACTGGGACAGCAATGGCAATACTCAGAACACAGGAGAAGAACAGCAGTTTCATTTTGGTGAAGAACCCTATGAAAACAAAGATGGGAAGCTAACAGTTTTTACTTTTTATTTTTGGAGAAAGGAGAGGGATATAATAATGGTATATAATGACAGTGCTGTGAGCAGGTCACCAGAGAGGGGAGCCAGGCAGTGGTTTAATTTATGCACTCCTGTAGCTTGATTCCACCCTCTGTGATTTCCTATATAACCTTGGGCAAGTCACTTAATCTCTGTCCCAGAGTTTACTCATCTCTAGAGTGAAGCTAACACATGCTTACCTGTGTGAAATGCTCTGTGATTTAAAAATGCAAGGAGCTATATGAAAGTTAAATATTATTATAATGCATTTAACTATAGAGGTAACTTAGATCCTGTCCAGACCACTAATTAAACTGTATTAGTAATTTAACAGTATATAAACCTGTATAGCATGTCAGATCCAACACTGCACGTTTAAAAGTATGCTGCATTCATATAAAAGAACTACATACAAGCCCTGACTAACACAGATTTAGTGTTTCTACTGGGTTTTTGGAAAGTACAGGAAATAATGCTAATGTTCAAAAAAGCTAGTTTTATTAGTAAAATTATTGTCAAATTTGTTAATGTAAATGTGTGGGAAATTAACTCAGTGTTGTGCACATCAGCCTAATCAAGAGCTGAGCTCACAGGGCAAATCCAAATGAGCATGCACATGCATTTCTCCAGGAACAACTAGTAGCAGCATATATTTGTGCTGGTGCTAGTTGTCCCTGGGGAATGCCCCTGCAAGCATGTTCTAGTGCAGGGCAAATTGCCCCAGATGGGGTAGGGGAGGCAGAGGCCTGTTCCTGGGCTGGCCTCAGCAGCCTTACCCGGAATCCTGGGGGCCTCCCAGAGCTATAGCAGCAGTGCTCTTGGTGTGTGGAGCCTGGCCCGCAATTACAGTGTGGCTCTGGCCAGCCAGGCTCCGGTTTTGTGTGACACATAACTGCTGCCACATATGCTGCACTGCTTTTTTTTTTATGCCTTTTTTTTTTTATAACAGGATTTCCCAGTATCTAAATTTGTCTCCATGCTGCAAATATGCAGTGCAGAAAACCAAAGCACATGCACACGATGCGTTTTGTGGCATGTCTAAAGCCTTTGAGGTGCTGCAAAGTGCACATGCACTTGTGTGGACTTGCCCACAGAATCCCTTCCTGGTGGCACATAGCCCCTTCAGGATCAGCATGTAAATTCAGATTTAAGGTCTGATCCAGTGCTTTCTGAAACCTTCCCCCACCACATATTCTGTATCCTCTGAATTTACTGCTACAATACTGAGGTAATTCCTTCAAACAACTCCATATTAGTTAATCAAATGTCACTATTTCAGATGATTGGCCCCAAATCTAGATTTATTCCCTCTCTATAGTTTCATTGGCTTCCTCTTGAACCTTTCCTGAATGATGGAGCTTTGTATAAATACCACCTTCCAATACATTTCAATATGCCCCAAATGTCAACATGCCAACTGCTTTCTTTTCTTGAGTCCCTTGTTATGCATGAATAGGTGTTACATAGATCTGCTTCATCTGATTGTGAGGATGTCTTGTGTATGGCAAATAATGGTCACAACTCCTTCAATACTTTAAACACTGGAAATAAGAATAAGAATTAGAGCTATGTTTTTCAAAAGTAACTTTTGGACACCACAAATTTTAGCCTTTTACTTTGAGATACCTTAAAAAGTCCTTCTTTTCAAAGGGTGGGCGCTTAAAAGTTTCTGAAGTTTGGTACCCAAAAATTGAGGCCCTCAAATTAGCTAGTCTTTTTTTGTGTGTAAACTTTATCTAACGTAACTAGGCAGGTGCTCATAGTCGAATTAAATCTCTCTTACCATTGATGAGCTTGCCAAAACTTGTCAGCTGAACTGGATATTTATATTTCACTTATGGGGTGGCAGGCCCTCTTTTGCTCCTCTCTGACTATCAAGGCATGAAGGTCTCATACACAGGTTCTGAAGCCCTGTAATTTTATCAAACATTCTTCACCTGCAGTCTTACCTGTGTTTTAGAAAAAACGTATATTTCAATGAGAGATCTTCTGCAATTTATTTCCCATATTATTGTTCCCCTCTTTCTTCTGATACTTTTAAAATTTTGCTATCCTTACCTCTTTTTCTTTAATGCCCACTGAAGTTATTTTGAGTTATTCTGTTGACTCTATTGGAATTATAATATGCTCCTTGCATTTTAAAATGCCTTCTGTTTGTTTTACACTCCTATTTATATATCTCTACCATACAATTATAGTCTCATACTTATTTCAGTTCTTTCGAAATTATACTATAATAATTGCATTACCTTTCCTTTGCACAGTGATCAGCTGAACAGTGCAATAGCCAAGAAATCAGCTTGCTCATGTGGAGTCTGTGTGTGAATTGCTGGTGTTTAAATACTGTTTCTAGTTCCATAGATTTAATCAGAAAACCACAAGTAATTACGATTGACAAATTCTTAATACCAGTGGACAAATTATGTCATTCTTTTTAACCGATAAGTCCAAAGAAATCCCAGGGTCTAGCACTGGATCATGCTAAAGTGTTGGCAAACAAAACGCATATGGATATATGCATAGGGAGTATGTTATATGCCCTGACTACAGGTACTGTGCTGATTGCTAGACTATAATATTCTATGCTATAAGTACAGTTATGGAAATATGTGTATTTGTATTGTGAGGTTTAAAATACTAATTCGACACTAAAGTAATAATTCCCTCTCAGACAACATAATCTTTTAAATTAGGATTCCCTACACGTTGCAATCCAAGAAGCTGTGCTGGAGATTTACAGGAATTCAGGGGCTTCATTTCCTAATGTAAATGTACACAATCATAGCATTTGTTCTGGCTTAGGTCTTTCTGGATAAATGAGCAGCATTGGGTAGCATTTTTAAAAAGGATCAAAATTTCTCCAACTGCTGAAATCAGTGACTATTGACTCAAGAGGCCAGTGACATCAGTTGGACGGAGTTAGATCAGTGCTGAGGGTTTATGAAAATCCCACCCTCTGTATCTAGGTGTTGACTTGCTGGAAGAAAAATGACACTTAACTTTAATAGGACATGAAGTAGAATCCCAGAGTCTGGGTGGTACAGACAGCACAGGAGGTTTGCACAGGGGCTTTGGAATGCCAAACTAATTTTACTTTGCTTTGATCCTCCAATTTTTCTTTGGCAGGTTCACCTCCTTTTTGTATTAATGTTGCGCCTGATTTTGATACTTATATTTGTGTCAAAGACCATCTTAATACCCAAGCTGTCCCATTGACTGTGAAAAGAATAGGACAACATGCAAAGTAAGGTACTGCCATATTTGAGTAAGATTACTATGATGTAACTCTGAATAGTCATTAAAATGTAGTAGTAGTCCTTACCATGGTGCTGTTTGTCTCAGTCATTACTTCTACACTCTTCTATGTGTTTTTGGGGCTATAGATTGTAGCCACGTTGGTCAAATGACATAGGCAGACAAGGTTATTTAGGTAAACCCAGTATCTTTTTTTAGACCAATTTGAGTATCAAAAGATTGGATTTATCCAAAGAACCTTGCCTGTCCATGTGTTTTGTACATTTATAACTTCTGTATTATTTTTGATCTACAAGAGCAAATGGATATCTGTGTAGAAGGCATCGTGCTGTATGGTTCCTCCTTTGTGACTTAGCCAGGTCTCACAACTGTCCTTATCTATAAGGCTTCTAAACCTCATTTTGAAAGCTAAGCTGTTTGCCTGTGTGGGTGCTATATTTCCAGTATATCTCTCAGTAGAATTAACAGTAAACTTCAAAGGCAGTTTATAATTGAGTCATTAATACTTACATTGAGTAGATGAAAGTCCCATCTCTCATGAGTACTAGTCATATTATTCCCATTCCCACTGAGTCAGATTGTCTCATCTGTGTCTTTTTATGAACTATTATAGTAGAGGTCAGCTTATTTAATGGACAAATCACTTTATACGTGTTGATTTTATTACAGAAATGTTTATACATCATCCAAGGATAATACCACATTATACTAGACACAGGGTGTGTTTGTATGAGATGCTAAAAGCGCTGTAGACTAAGTCTACTTTACATTATCATGTCATGGCAAAAGCCTAGCTAATGCACAATAGATTTAGTCGACTGTGCATTAACATCACCTAAAAGACATGCACCAATGCTACGGTGCAGTAGTGCTGATTATGGCACGTAATGCACATGTAGACCTGCCCACTGTAGATGGTCCTTTTCTCAAAGAGGTTACCAATGTAAACAGGCAAAACAGGGTAGGGAAAATAATGCACTAGGGATTTTAATTCCTACCATCTTTTTACAAAATCCTGGGAGTTCTTTGCTCTTCCATGCATGTAAATCGTGTGGAGGGCACAAGGAGCCTTGTGTGGCATGCATACAGGTGAGAAAGAAATGTCCAGTGTTGGGGGCTGGAAAGGGGCATCCTCTTTCCAAGCTCCTGACCTGAAAGACAGAGCCATATCTACTTCTTGCCCTTGGGAAACAAATGGACATTTAACTTGTGCTCAGCATTTTCTGAAAGTACAAGAAGTTTAAAAAAAATAGGGTCACCAGCTTCGGGTCATACTCATTTCCCAACTCTACAAAACAGCAGGTGAATAAACATTTAATAGTTACAGTTTTTTCCTTCAAGGGTTCATCATCTGAAGTGAAAAGATATTGACCCCTGCTGACCTCAGGTACATCTACACATACGTCAGCAGCATTACTCTGCTGTAGTTTGTGATACATAATGTATATACAGAAGTGGATTCAGGATTTTGTAACGGGGGATTTGGGACCAGCAACTGGTGCTACAGGGGTGCTGCACCCCCGCTCCCAGATTTCTCTCCTCAACAGGGCCAACAGACCATGCCATAGGAACAGCATATGGGGACATTTTTAAGTCCCTGAATCAGTAAGAATGTCCCTCCCTCAAATCATCTGCGCTCTCCTCCTTTTCCCTGTGTGGTTGGTGACATGTCCCCTCCTATTTCCCTCCTCTCTTCCAGCCAGTGCTACCACTGTTCTTGGCTGCCCCAGGACATGTGTTACTTAGAAAGTTAAAGTAGGATTCTTTTTTCTCAGTTCCTATAAAAGTCCCCATTTCACTGTGTCTGGCTTCTAATGTGTGGCCTGGGGTGGAATGGGGGTGATAGAATGATTTAGCTCCTATAGAGAGGAGAATAGACTTTTATGTACAAGTATTTCATAACACTGTCAACAAGCTATGCTTCTAATTCATTTAAGCTGGTTAGGTGACTCATGGCAGTGGAAAGAACAAATAAGTAACGATGCACTGTGGTTAAACACAAAAGAAAATGCAGACAGAAAATTATATCCTTGATAAATATTTTCAAGCTAACAGTCCTATGGAGGGTGGGGTCTGCCTATACCTACATGGGTTAGTTAGAGAATTTGCCCTACACAAAATTAATCACTGCTCATGTGTCACTGGTGTGCAGTATTGCAGAATGTAATGTGGCAAGGCTAGTAGAAACTTTTCCATGTATATTCCTCTTCAGTTGAAAATTGGGTTTCAGCTAAATGGCTTTTTCCTGCAAAAATTTCTGCTTTCAACAGAAAATGTTGGGGTTTAGTTTAAAAAAAAAAAAAAAAAAAAAAACTTAAAAAACAAAGTATTTTAATCGATCCTTAAAATGTTTCAATTTAGCTCTGCTGCTTTTGCATTTAATGGGAGCTGCATTTCAGTTTTGTCTCATTTACATTCTTCTGTATGGGCCAGGCTTCCCAACTGGATTACAACTCCCATGATGCACTCGGGCCAGGGATGACAAAATGCCCTGTCATTCCTAACCAGATGAGATGACAGTGCCCCATAGGAAGTGCAGTATAACGAGAAGAGAATTGCAGATGAGGCATGCAAGCTTCCCCTGCCACACTGTTTTGCACTTGAGTGTTAGGATCCAGGCATGTAGACCCTGTACAATCAGTGCCTAAGGGAGGGTGAACACCTCAGTTGGTGCTATATCTGAGCAAACTGTAAATGACAGTTGGCCTGCTTCCCCAAATCCAGACAGACACACCGTTACACAAAAGTCTCGTTCAGGGCACAGCTTTATTCTTCAGCAAAACTTAGGCAAAGCATTGCAGTCCCTTTGCTCATTTTGGGCTACCAGTACTATTCCCAAGCATTCCTCTTCATATCTTTTCCTGCAGAAGCTGTCTGCAGCAGCTTTCTCATATACCTGGCTTGGTTTTTCATGAGAAACATCGGCCACCTCTCAGCTGGGCCTGTTAATTGAACAAGCCTAACTGGCTCCAGGGCCCTTGGCCCCTAAAGGGACAGGTCACCTCATTATGCAAGCATATCATGAGTTAATATACTGCACAGACACTAAGAATTAAAGTGCTGCTGACATGAGATTCCTTGACACCTCATGCATCCTGCATTTTTGTCTCTTCATCTCACAATTAATTTAAAATAATCATGTTGCATCAGTTTTTCACCAGTCCCAAGGGGCATCCCTGCCCATTACAGGACGGGAACACCTGGGTGAGGGAGATCCCTTACCCTCCATCAATGCTGACCTTGTGAAAGGAACACCTTGAGAGGCTGGACACCTTCAAGTTAGCCTGGTGCTCTGGTGAAGTGCAAAAAGACTGGAAGAAGAACAGTGTGGTGCCTATCTTCAAGAAAGGGACTAAAGTGGATCTGGCAAACTACAGGCCCATCAGCCTGACCTCTATCCCAGGGAAGGTCTTAGAAAAGATTATTAAAGAGACCATTCTTAACCGGAAGGCCAATGGCAGCATTCTGAGGGATAGCCAGCATGGGTTTGTTGCGGGTAGGTCTTGCTAGACCAATCTTATTTCCTTTTACGACCAGGTGACCTATCACCTAGACAAGGGAGAAGAGATTGGTGTTTGACTTTAAAAAAGTCTTCCTTCTGGTATCCCATTATCACCTCCTAGCAAAACTGGCCAACTGCGGCCTTGGCTTCACCATGCTTCTGTGGCTGGGGAATTGGCTCCGTGGTTGGACCCAAAGGGTGGTGGTTGACGGAAGTCAATCGTTGTGGTGCCCTGTGACCAGTGGGGTCCCTCAAGGCTCTGTCCTTGGGCCAACACTGTTCAACATCTTTATTAATGATGTGGACATTGGTATCAGAAGCGGACTGGCCAAGTTTGCTGATGACACCAAATTCTGGAGTAAAGCGTCCGCACCTGAGGACAGGAGGGTGATCCAGGCTGACCTGGACAGGCTCAGGAAATGGGCAGACGAGGACCTAATGGTGTTTAACAACAAAAAATGCAAGGTTCTCCACCTTGGGAGGAAAAACCTGCAGCATGCTTATAGGCTTGGCAGAGCTATGCTGGCTAGCACTATGGACGAAAAGGACTTGGGGGTCATGATTGACCACAAGATGAACATGAGCCTTCAGTATGATGCTGCAGCTAGTAAAGCGAGCAAAACACTTCCATAGATGCTTCTCAAGCAAATCCCAGGATGTCATTCTCCTGTTGTACTCGACCCTGGTGAGGCTGCAACTGGAGTACTGCGTCCATTTTTGGGCTCATAATTGAAAAAGGATGTGGAGAAGCTTGAGAGAGTCCAGAGGACAGCCACGCACATGATCAAAGGTCAGGAAAACAGACCTTATGATGAGAGGCTGAGAGCCATGGGACTCTTCAGCCTGGAAAAGCACAGGCTCAGGGGTGATCTGGTGGCTGCCTATAAGTTTATCAGGGGTACTCGTCAGGATCTGGGGGAATGTCTGTTCACCAGAGCACCCCAGGAGATGACAAGGTTGAACAGTCACAAACTCCTGCAAGACTGTTTCAGGCTGGACATAAGGAAGAACTTCTTTACTGTCCGAGCCCCCAAGGTCTGGAACAGTCTGCCATCGGAGGTGGTTCAAACACCTACATTGAACACCTTCATGAGTAAATTAGATGTTTATGTTGCTGGGATCCTATGAACCCTGCTGACGTCCTGCCCCTGGGGCAGGGGGCTGGACTCGATCTTCCGAGGTCCCTTCCAGCCCTAATGTCTATGAAAATCTATGAAATGTTAAACATTTATCTTGAATCCTCTTCTTTTAACTACAGAGTAGTGGTTCTGGAGACAAATAGATATAGATTATTTGATTCCTACTTTATTAGTGTGTTAAGAAACTGATAATACAGTAAGTCAATAAACAAAGAAACTTGTCTTATTTGTAGCCAGTTTTCCACAGTATATGTTAAGATTTTTGCCATATATATCTACTGGAAAACAGTGTTGTGAATGATTCTGTTTCTTGTGTACAGAGAGGCATTACTGAAAGTTAAACTCCAGGCAGG